TGTTTTCTCATGCCTCTTGCTCACGGGTGTTGTTACATGTAGTGGTATTGGTAGTAATTCAGTTTGCTCCTACCACCCCTTCCCCATTAGCGTCTTTCTGACTCTGGAGAGCTGGCGGGGTAGGGAGAACCATGTTGCACGCTGCTCGGGGTGTGGCGGGATGGCTGAGCCCGTGCTCTGGAGCAGCTTGCGGTCCCCAGCATGGGAGGTGAACTGTAAACAGATAAGCAGATGCCGGGCAGTGGGGAGTGACGCTGCAGGAGCACAGCTGAGGGGTGTGCAGCAGGCTCTAGCCCACAGTAAGTTCAAGGTGGCAGAGAAAATTCTGTCTTTTCAGGAGCTTCTTAGGTACTTGTTTTCCACTTCAGCTGGACTAATTGTAGTTGGGAAAGTGAAGGCATTTCCTGATTTAAGAAGTTAAACCAACTTTCTGGAAAGGTGGAAGGTGGGCATCCGTGCCCAGCCTCGAGGAAGTTGGGGTGGCAGCCCCCAGGCTGGAGACAGTTTGGCCGCCAAAAGTAGATATGGTGTATGTGTTTGTGAGTGGTGTCTGCTGACACGTTTTTCTCTCCCCTGTCCTCTTGCAGCTGGGTGGTGATGAGAAGGTTCTGGAAAGCTGCTTGAGCCTGGGTGGCCACCGGGCCCCTGTGGTCACCGTGGACTGGAGTACTGCCATGGACTGTGGGACCTGCCTCACCGCCTCCATGGACGGCAAGATCAAGCTCACCACCCTCCTGGCCCATAAACTCTGATGGACCTTCCCTGAGGGACACCCACAGAAGCAGTATTATCCTGGGGCACGGGGGAGACTCGAGGTGGAAAACAGGACACTCCACTGGCAGCCCCTGCCGGCTCAGCTACTCTTCAGGGAGAGACTGTCCGAGGAGCTGAGGCACTGCCCAGCTGCGGTGACTGCATGGGGGTCGCGTGGAGCAGGTGGCTTGTGCTTCCCAGAGACCAGCGTCATGGACTGTGCCAGACACATGCTTCAGAGGAAAGCTCCAGAAGAAGGAGAAACACTGATTGCTGCTGTGTTGGCCCAGGAGAGATTGGCAGTATTTTATATATATTTGCTCATTTTTCTTCTTTTTTAAAAAAGAGAATGCACTTGTGGTCCCTTGGGGTCTTTCTAGGATGTGTATGTCACTTTGCCCTGGCGGTAGTCAGCTGGGGGCTCCCTGCCCTTGGTCTGCGCACCCCAGTCCTTATGCACCTCCGGCCTGAGGCTGCACTTCTGCAGCTGTGCCTGTCGCTTTGCCACAGGGGTAGGATGTGGCGCACGGCTCTTGTCAGTTCTGCTGGGCAACTAAGGTTTTGAGGTTCCTGTTTCTCTGGGCTCGAGTCAAGGTTAGAGAGTGTTCTTTCTCTTCCTTGAAAATTGGCAGCTTTTGTTACAGAAACTTCTCAGGATGAGGACAGGAGCTGAGGCCTCTGCTACTGGCTGCCCTCTGGTCTGGGCGGCTGCTTTTTCCCTCGCAGGCTGAGAATCCATTATCCGATATGCCTGGGACCAGAGGTGTTTCAGATTTTGGATTTTTTTTGATTTTGGAATATTTGTAAACACACATAATGAGATATCTTGGGGAGGGGACCCAAGGTTTAACACGAAATTCATTTATATCTCATATATACCTTATACACATAGCCAGAAGGCAGTTTTATACAGCATTCTAGATAATTTTGCACATGAAACAAAGTTTTGACTGCAACTCATCACGTGAGGTCAGGTGTGGAATTTTCCACTTGTGGTGTCATGTAGGCACTCAGAAAGTTTCAAGTTTTGGGGCATTTTAGATTTCGGGTTTTTGGATTAGGGATGCCCAAGGGCACCTCTTTCATTTGGTGGCTTCTCTCATTCCTCCAGCTGAACATCCAAGGCGTGGAAGGTGTCAGCCGCCTGCGCCCCCTGCTGGTGGATGGGGAAGTGGGTCAGAGTGGGCCCATGGGGTTCAGGCCAGCCCAGCTGTTGCAGACCTGAGCTTGACCAGCTGTGTCCATGCTCCTGCCTGAGGCCTGCCCTCTACTCCCTGGCTGGGGTGGGACCTTGAAGAGGCAGATGTTCCCACAAGGTGAGGAGGAACTGGAGAGCCGCTCTTGGGAGAAGTCACAACAGGATGGTGGGCCTGGGCCTTGGACTCCGACACTTGTCGGGGGCGAGCTTGTCTCTGCGCTGGGGAAGGCTGCAGCCGTGATTCAGTTTAGAGCCTCCCAGCCCAGTGTGGCAGTACAGGCCTGGAACGTGGAATACTCCTAGTTACCTACTTTGGGAAAGGCACAGGGAAATTGATACTAAACCCTTGGCTCCATTCTGCTGGGTTTTGAGGGAAAAGTAGGGAGGAGTTTCTGTGGCTTGATTATGAGAAAACAGAAGAGACTTAGTAGTAAATAGTTACCCATTTTTACTCATTTCCACTTTGGTAATCCTTCCCTCAGATGAAGAAACCAAGACTTCTCCATGTATTATTGTATCATTTTCCCCATCTGCATCAAAACAGCAGCCTTATTTATCTCACCCAGTGATTCTGTAGGACATTTAAGAAGTGGTCATGGGTTCTGAGAATTTGTGTAACTTTTCCTCTCTTCATCTTGAAGTTTTGATCTTATCCATTCCCTCCTCTCGATACAGTCTCCACGGGTTGTCGAAATGGCTTTAAGGATTGCAGAGACACAAAGAACACTTGAAACCCTAGTGTCCTTCCCTGTCCCACATCTTACCCTCTCCAGGATGAGTTCTCATCTGCAAATAAAGCATGTCAGAACTTAAACTTATCTCTCCTTCAAATACCTGCTCAGTATCTACCCAAGAACCCAAGCAAGACTCCTCTGTTACCTTGGGTGAAGGTGGCATAGGAGAAAACCATCAGGCCAGTCCAAGCCTCAGTCCTCTGAGTTGCACCTGGCCAGGTGTTGACCCTCTGCTCTGGCCGAGCCTGCACCGACAGCCTCGCAGTGGACTTCCCCATCTCCTGCCCTCTCCTCAGGCACCTGCCTGCACTTGGCTGCTTCTGCTCCGGGGACGCAGGCCAAAATCCAGCCCCTTAGCGTGGCATTCAAATGCTTCAGGAGTTCAACATAGTGTCTTTTTTAAGGATATATACATCGTGGGAGGACCAAATCTAGACGATTGACATATGCATTACCTCACATGATAAATACAATTTTATCCGTCAGTTTAAAGACCAAAAAAACCCCTCAAATGCTTCAGGTGTTGACTCCAATCCACGCAAACTACATAGCTCTGATTCCTTACCCCTCCTGGGGGAGGGAGGATGGGTTTCTCTCACTTCAAACAAAGCTTTTAAGGCAGACAGGCTTGTTTCCTGCTCTTCAGGCCTCATTTTCCAGCTGGCTATGAAAAGAGGTTTTAAGGAGAGATGCACAGGGGGTGGTATTGTTAAGGAAAAAAATTAATGACACTCATTAAAGCACAGTAAGGAAGACTTTATTCAGGATTGTCTCAATAGGCAGCGCTAACAAGGTCTTGTGGGGGAGAGACATTGGGCTCAACTTCAAATACAGCATGGGCCAGTAGGAATTTATAGCCAAGGAGCAAGGTGGGGGCCCATGGATAGAAAATTGCTCAGAGGCAGCATCAGGGATGAGGGGATTCTTGCTGAGACAGGCCAGGGTGGTCAGGCATCACCTGGTGGAGGAGGATGAGGAAGCTGATAAGGTACCCAGGGTGATCACGTATCATCTAGGATGGGGGAGTGATTCTTACCAACTGGATTTTACAAGGAAGTACACAGATGGGCCTAGCAGAAGATTCAGAAACCTGACCAAAGTTTGGCCAAGCAAAGAATCTTTGTCAGTTCTAACAGCAAGTATTTTCTCTTCCTTTATTCACAAAGCAAAATGATGCTTCTCAGCCCCAGCTGCTGTTGGACTTGGGCTTTCTCTGGCTCATAGCTTGTGAGAGGGAGGACCCTAGAGGTCAGTGACTGGAACACCTTCATGGTGGCAGAGGAGAGGTGCGTCCTGCCCCAGGGGGCTGCCCTCCTGAAGAGGCTGGAGGCCACCTCCTCCAACCTGCTGTGATCGCTGATGTATCTATCTCCTTAAGCCTTGATTTCTTTAAACTTTCCCCTCCAGCCTACTGCCCAAGGGTGGAGGATTAGCATTCAGCAGCATGGTGAAAGTGCTCTGGAGCATCGGTCCCCAACCTTTTTGGCACCAGGGGCCGTTTTTATGGAAGGCAATTTTTCCACGGAGGCGGGGTGAGGGGGAGGGTTTCGGGATGATTGAAGCGCATTACATTTATTGTGCACTTTGTTTCTATTATTATTTCCCTGTAATGTGTAATGAAATAATCGTACAGCTCATCATAGGTTGGGGACTCCTGCTTTGGAGAAGCCAGAGGCACCACGCTAGTGGAAGGAAGAGCTCCGGCTCCGGTCTCCAAGCTCTGTGCACCTCTAGTCTGTGGAGAGTAATCATTCTGTTATTAGCTGATTTCTCGTAAAGCACATTTCAAACAGCCCTCTTGATTTCTCATTTTAGGGGCAGACAGTGTCAGATCATCCTTTTTACTTCAGAATGCCCTAGGTGAAGGCTTCAGCTTGCGCTGTCGTTTTTAGTCATGTTTCCAACTTGGGGGCTTCTTTCCGGCCTTTTTTAGGCTGCTTTTAAGCCGTGTGATTTTTAACTAAAACTCAATGCAAATTCCAAGTGACAACTGCAGAGCTCGGCACCCAGGGCACCTGGGCAGCTTGGTGGAGCCGCCCTGGACCCCAGGGAACCTCTCGGGCCGCCAATCTGAATATTAAATATTAGTGACGCCTACTTTAAGATAACAAATGTAAGCAGAGGCTTTAATTTCTCTTCCTGCACCCAGGGGGCTCGTCTTGCGTCTCTGTCCCCGGGATGCGTCGTCCAGCAGGGAGCTTGAACCTGGTTTCTGTGGGAATCCCCAGCGGGATTCCCAAAAATACAGATCCCCCTTCCCTTCCCCTAATTTCTGATTGAGGGGCCCAGGAACTGACAGTTCCGCTTTCTTTGAGCCAGGCCACGCCGCTCCTCTTGCTCCAGCAGCCGGCGAGCACCCCAGGTGCCCGCCGGGGGCGCGGGCGTGGGGCGCGGCCTGCAGGGGGCGCTCCCGGGCTTCCGCGTCAGCCAGCACCCGGGAGCCCGGGCGGGGGAGAAGCCGGGGGCGCAGGGCCGGAAGGGGCGGGACCGGAAGGGGCTGGGCAGTGCTGAGTGTTCTGTGAGTCTCAGCGGCAGGTGGAGGAGTACGCGGCGGTGGGGCTGGGACGGGACCACGGGGCTCTGAGGTCTGGGTGGGTTACGGGTCGCACAGCCGCGCCTGATCCGCTTCGCAGCTCCGCCTCGAAAGCCAAGAATGGGGTGCAGGGGCCCGGGAGAAGCAGGGCAGCCAGTGCGCCGGGCCGGAGGAGCGCGCCGCCGGCAGTGGGCCTGGCCTGGGGTGGAGACCCGTTCTGCACCGAGCGCCGGGGCCTAGGGCCGGGTCGGAAGGTGTCGGTACAGCCAGTTCCCGGGCCTGGGCAGCGCGGCCCGGCTGTGGCAGCGTGGCCTCGCGTGGATGCTTCCGCTGCGTGTTCCCTTCTGCAGGCGCCGGCCCCTCGGCTCCTCCAGCAGGGCAGCACTGCGGGGTCGGTGCGAGCGCAGTGAACTGTTCCCGAAAGCGAGCAGAGGGCTGTGAACTAGGGATGCTGGCAAATCGCGTTCGTGCGGAGCCTCCGGTTCATCCAAGTAGTGAGGAGCTTGGGATGAGATTTTCTAAGGTCCCACAGGGCTCGACATCCCGTGAGCACTGAGCTCCAGAGAACGTGCTTCTGGAAGATGCTCTTGCAGCCATGAAGCAGGGCGGGCAGGCACAGGGTTTGGAGTCTGTAGGACCTGGCTGTTAATCCTGGATGATTGATTTCGAACTTTTGTGCCCATGTTCTAGTTAACTAAGTCTTAGTTCCTTGTTTGTAAAATGCACTAAATATCCACCTCAGGGTCAGACAAATTTCTGCCTGTATAGACCGCAGCACTGTGCGCTCAGTAGGCTCGTTAAATGGCTGGAATGACTATTATCACCGTCTGAATTCTGACAGAAATGAAGGTACATTGGCAAGGGTCTATACTCTAGCCGGACAGGTGAGGACGATGGCCTGCTAATTTTTTTCTTAAGCTGTAAACAGCCATCCTGGGTGAGCAATAAATTATCAAATTATGACTTGGAGAGGACTGTCTTGTTTTTTGCTGACTACCTTTTTCTGGGCAAACCTTTGCTTCAGTAAGATCTTAGGAGCTTCTGGGTTGATTCCTAAGTGGAAGGCAGAGACCTAGACCCATTGTCACAGCCCCTTCTCTCTGGGTGGGGACTGGGCTTCAGGACTGAAGGGCTCAGGCAGAACAACAGGGAAGAGAGAAGCCAAGTTAGAGCAGAGGCTGGGGGGCAGATGGCGAAGGAGGGTGTGGATTCTGCAAATCAGGGGAGCCCAGTACAATTATGCTCCCTATCCCCTATTGCTGGTTAAAATTTCACCAATCGGAAGTATCTTTAGGTTAAAGGAGAGGTATTGGCCGGTAAAACCTTATTGTGAATCAAAATGGCCTCAGGCCAGGAGTTGGAGACCAGCCTGCATCACATAGCAAGACCTGTCTCTACCAAAAATTAAAAAATTAGTGCAGTGTGGTGGGACGAGCCTGTAGTCCCAGGCTGAGGTGGGAGGATTGCTTGAGCCCAGGAGCCAGGAGTTCGAGGCTGTAGTGAGCTATGATTGCACCACTGTGCTCCAGCCTGGGCAACAGAGGGAGACCTTGTCTAAAAAACAAAAACAAAAACCAACCCGAATGGCCTCAGGGTTTCTTGTAACTGAGCCACTATAGAGAAAGTGAGTATCTGGAGTTCAGGCAGATGAGGGAGCAGTCACTGAGAAGTGTTTTAGGGGTTGGGTAGGCTGGGCATCCTGAGGACAGTGGCATTTGGGGTGGTGAGGGAAGGGACTTTAAAGGGCTCCGCCTCCTTTGCCTGGGGAGGGTGCTCATCCCTCTCCCTTGCTGACCCCATCACCGAGGAGAGGAGGCTGATGGGAGGCATTTCTGCTTGTCTCTGGCTGCCTGTGTGGGGCACCCGACGTGGGTGCAGGTCCCAGGGCTCTTGTCTCCCAAGCCCGTTGTGCTGCCGTCTACCCACACCTGCCTGCCAGCGGCCATCGGAGTCTCCAGCCCTGCTCACCCCCTGGGGCACCTCTGGGCTGCCCTGCCTAGTAACTGGCTGATGACTGGAAGTATTCTAGCTTATTAGAATTCGCTGGACTTTGTAGGATTTAAAGATTGACTCCCATCGTGGACAAGTAGACCTGTAATTCCTGGTGTGACAAGAGAGTGGGATTTGCTTTTCTGAATTAGAAAAGCAGGTCATTAAGCTTGGGTCCTGATTCCTCTTTGTGAAAGGGTACAGAGATGGAAACCTTAAAATCTGAGAATAAAAAGAGGATCCTTCCCTCATGGATGACAGCCCCGGTAACTGAGAAGAGAGTGGCGCCAGTCAAGACCCCCAAGAGGAGGAGAACGGCAGTGGTGCCGGTGGCAGCAGCAAGGTGGGACAACCTTTGGTCAGAGGGCACCCAGGGAAAAACCAGCGTCGGGGGATGGGGGCTGCAATCACTGGGCCGGGTCTTCAGTGTGGGCAGAACAGCGAGGTGGGTGGGCAGTTCAGTCCGACAGTCTCTCCTCGAGCTCTTAGGAGGTGCAGAGGGTGCAGGCAGGAGGCAGAGTGAGCTGTCCCCTCCCAGACAGGCACTCGCTTCTGCCTCTGCGTTGGTGCATGCTCTGCCTTCAGGGCTCGGTTGTCAGCACGCAGACAGTGCGTTCCACACGTTAGCCAAGCTCTCAGAGGCCACTTGTCCAAAATACCAGTCTCTTCATTTGCATCAAAATTGTATTATGACATCAAGTGGGCAAATCAGTGGACCAGAGAGTTGGATCTCCTGCTCCTCCTGTGGACAGACCTTTAGGGACACAGAAGAGCAGCAGGTCGCGGGGCCAGTGGGAAGGCAGCAGCTGGGGCATGTGTGGGTTGAGGGGTGGCAGTTGTGGAGGTGGGTCTTCAGGCCACTGGCGTCCAGTGGGAGGAACATCCCTGCTACCCTCCTGGCAGGGCACTGGGCACTCAGGGCTCCCTTTCTGGCCCCTTCTTTTCTATGGTTTCTTCACTGACCAGCCGTCCCTCTGGGACTGCTGCAGTCTTCGCCTAAATGTGTTCGTGCATCTGGGCGCGTTGCAGTCCAATCTCAGCCTCACGGCCCCTGCCAGCTCGCTCTCAGGAGCTGGCCGTCATTCCCTATTTCCCTCCTTGTGGGGGCGTTGGCAGAGGGTGGGAAGCCCCCCGGTGTTGCCTCCGTGTACCCCTGTGCCAGTCACCGGCCTGCAAGGATGAGGAGGTCGTGTCTGTGCCCAAGGAAGCTCCTCAGCTCGGAGGCGCTGGTGCCCTCATGTTGGTGGGAAGGCTGGGGGACCAGACCCTCTTGCCGTCTTGTTCTCGTTTTCCTCCTCATGAGACCTGAGACCCTCTGGCCCCATCTGTGGCTTTGTGTCTTTGTTTCAGACCTCCCGCGGCGAGGACCGTGTACTGCATGAATGAAGCGGAGCTGGTCGACGTTGCTCTGGGGATCCTGATTGAGGTACAGTCAACTGTGTCTCTTCTTCCTGTCAGGACTGGAAGCTCTTCATGGGCAGAACCTGGACTAGGCCTTGGTCCAGGCGATACAAGAGACGCGGCTTCCGCAGGAACCCTCCCGTGTCAGCCTCTCCCCACACCTGGCCCTGCCCAGCTCTTCTCCCAGCCTCTGCCCCAGTGGGGGAGCCCTGGGGGCTGAGCTGTGGGGCTGGACCCCCGGGGAGGCTGTGGGGACGGGAGGAGAGCGCGCCCTCTGGGGCGCCTCTGCCAGTGTGCCTGCGGAGGGATGCAGGTGCTTACCTGTCTGTGTTTGCAGAAGGGGTCTCGGTTGGGCGAGGTGGCCGCTCAGCCATCGCACCCCTCCTGAGCACAAGGCCGCTGCAGTTTCCCGGCTTCCTGGAGCAGTAATAACTGCACCGCCTTAATGGCGTACAGCACTTTATAGTTTATAGGGGCTTCGATATTGTGTATGATCTCATTTAATCCTCATGATAACCCTGGGGTATAGTTATTTCAGATACTATTGGCTCTGGGACTTTTCCTTAGTTCCATAGCTAATAGGTGACGAGTGTGGGCCCACACCCAGGTTTTGTGTCCTGGGCTCCTTCCATTCTGTCACCTTGCCTTTCCAGACACGTTTTTTTCTATTTGTTTCTTTTTCCTTTCTGCTCAGCTGTTCCTCATGCCCCTGCCTGCTTCTCTCCCAAGGTGGTCCTGATTTCTTCAAGGGCTGTGACGAGGTGGTTGGGGGTGGGGGTGTAGGGTGGGGGTGTAGGGTGAAGAGAGGGTGCTCACGATTTGGGAGCAGGGCCTGGCCTGGTCACGCGCTGCTTCACAGTTGCTTCTGGGTACGTCTTACGTCACTGACAGACAAACCAGTACGTGAGGGAAATAAAACACGTGCAGTATAAAGCCTGCCATCTCTTCTCCTTCACAGAGCCGCAAACAGGAAAAGCTGTCTCCAGTGGGTGCTGATAAGCCGGAGCTCTCCCCCACCTCCTCTGTGTCCCCTCACACGAGTTCTGGGAGCGGCAGTGAGGAAGAGGACAGTGGGAAAGACACCCGTGGCCCAGGCCTCAGCTCTTCCCCAGGGCCAGGGGGTTCCGACTCTGCCTGCAGCAGGAACCCCAAGGAGGACGAGGATGTGTTAAAATATGTCAGGGAGATATTTTTCAGCTAAAGGATAAGCTGTTAACTGGACTTTCTGCTGAGAGCAGCTGGAGGACAGCTGGACTTCTGCAGGGGCTGCCGGGGACTGTCCCCAGGGTGTAGATGGAGCTGTCTGTGCTCCCAGCTTTGCGTCTCCCTGGACGTGGCAGCTTCACCTTGGGCCAGGAGCCCCAGGATGCCCCAGGCCTTGGGGCTGTCGTTTTGAGTGTGTGGAAGGGAGGACTCAAATTGGGTTCTCATTGTAATCCCTCTCTGCACTGTGCCCTCTCCCGCTCAGAGCGCCTGGATTTTATTAAACAATCATCTGTTTTATTCAGTTACCAGGTTCCAGGGAACATGAGGTCATACGGTGGTCCAGCTTTTTGAAACCAAAGAGACAATACTTTTCAAAGAATAGTATGGCTGCTGTTATACTGGAATTCCTATAGTTTAGTCAGCACGATCTCTCCTGAGGAGGAAGCCTATTTTAAAAATAGTCCCCATCACAAGGTGATCGATCAATGAGCTCTCAGCCCTCTAACTAGCCTGGAAGGCAGACCAGCTGCCCACAGTTCTCTGCCCTGTCTGGGAGCTTGAAGGTCACAGGGCACAGACCAGGAAGCCAGACAGGCCTCCCGGGCCTGCCTTCCACCCGGTGGCCTGCACTTTGGCCCCTGGGCAGCTGTAAAGCAACAGTGGGACAGGAGTGAGGACGAGGCACCGAGGACAAGAGATTACACCAGAGCCCATGTTTCTGCCTCTGTATTTGGTGTGGCTTTTGGCAGGCATAGAGTGAGTAAATCATTTGCCATACAGGTTTTCCAATATACAGGTGCTGAAAAATGCACAAAATTCCCCAATGCGTAAGTCACGCTTACATCCTCCCAGTTCCAGTTGAGAAGTGAAGGGGTGCGGCATTGTGTGTGTGCCGCCCTCTGGTCCTGGTCACCTTCCCTTGTCCAGGATTTGGCGTCCTCCTGGGTCTCATCACAGGACCGATTCCCAGTGACTGCTCTGCTCTTTCAGGTCCAGGGGCCTTTTCAGGGGAGCCTTCAGAGCCACCAAGGCTTCTCTTTATGCCCGTGTTCTGTCTTCGTGGAGTCCTTCCGATCAGTCCTGGGCCTTTGGCAGTGGAATCTTGGAAAGGGGCTCACCTCTGCCCACTCACCACAGATGGGGCAGCAGAAACTTGCTAACCTGGGCCCGAGGGACACCACGGTGCTCTTTCTTTTAATATCCCCACTTGTTGCCATAAAACTTCTGGGCTCCAGTTTGGCATTTGGCAAATCAGCCTGGAAGTCTGGCCTGGGATGGAAATCCTTACCTCTCCCCGCTCCTGAGGCTAGAGTAAGAGTTGCTCAGATCAGTTAATTAAAGCAGGAATTCGTGTGACAACGAGCTGCGTGGTTTTACGGTATTCTTGGAAGTCCTGAAGGACAGCCAGCCCTACACTAAGAAGCTGCAGGTGCCCCAGCCTCCTTTGCTGCCTCTTGGCCTCCTTGATGCTGGGGGCCCCACCTGCTCTGCAGTGGGATCCATCTCCTGGAGCTTGAGATCAGCATTAGCTATGAAACGAGACGGCTGAGCAGACACGCCACCTTCTCCGAGTGTGGTTGGGACTGAACCATTGCAATCTCATAAGCCTGTAGACAGGACTAGCAGCTCTCAAGCTGGCTCTTGTCTTTCTTGGCCCTGGGAGGGAACACAGCTGTGGCCATAAGCAAGAGCATAAGTAAGGCCTGGGCACTGCCCAGAGCTAGAAACCCAGGCCCCAGGAGGGAGAGCCTGACCCACTTCCACACGTAGGAGAGGAAGAGGCCCAGGCCACTGGCCAGCAGCACGGAGGCCACTGCCAGGAAGCCCACTGCCAGCTGCCACTCTCCCTCATCACCGTTGCACCAGGCCAGGAGGAGAGGCAGGGGGACAAAGAAGGTGAGGACCAGGGCCCCGTACACACCAAGCCTGGCCAGGGCCAGGCCAACCCGAGGCACCCCCAGGGCCTCCAGCTCAGGGAACTGGAGACACTGTAGGGAGCTGGTGTCCTCGTTCCACAGGCAGAAGTTGTAGAAGCCGATTCTCAGGTTGGGCAGGTCAGTGAGGTTGCCAGCCTTCCAGAGCAGCGTGTAGAAGAGCAGGGAGAGGACCACGACTGTGAGGATCAGGATGCTCAGGAACGGCAGGTGGTTGACCCACTGTGGCCTTGAGACGGCCATCTCTCCTTCCCTTCGCAGTGGGACCTGCATGGAAGTCACTCCCGTGAGTGTTCACCTCTCCCTTTGGCATTCCATAAAAACCCCTGGTAAACTTCCCTCCTGCCCTGCCTGCCACCAAGGACAAGAAATCTGAGGTAACCTACAGCCAGGACCCACTTGCTAAGTCATCAGCTACCTCTCTGGTTTGAGGTCAGGAGGAAAATCGCTCCCGGGCAGCTTTGATGACCTGAACTACCTAAACTGAAGTGCCCTTTGGTCAAAGGTTTTGCTGCAGCCCAAGTAAAACAAAACAAGCCGCTGAGAACATTTGTGAGGGAGTTTCTCAGATCCTTACCCAGGGTGGATTCTGACTGAGGTGAAGGATAAGGCTCACTCTTGTTGGGGACCTGAAGGTGGAGGTAGGTGCTGGGTTTCACCACGGTTGCCATGACAACCACCAGGGTTGCTATAAAAACTACCCATTGCTGGGCCATAAATCAATCAGAGCACAACTGTGCTTGGAGCTGGGCACTCGTGTGTTTTCCGAGCTGTGCAGCTCACTCTCACGTGAGCCTGGGTGGAGGCCCGCTGCCACACCCACTCTGGAATTTTATCTGCTGTGCTTTGGGAACTTGTTACTGGGTCAAGGCAAGATGTCACCTGGCAACAAAATCACATTATTACTTTTAAAAGTCTACAATTTTTCTTGACAACAACAGTGGTATATGTTAATTATAGAAAACTTAGAAAATATCTTTTTAAGATATTAAGAAAATTATCTTTTTAAAAGATAAAAAATAACCTTTTATCTCACCCCACACATAGAACCACTATTATTTAATAGTATCTTACCATTTTTTTTTCCTGTGCTGATGTGTTTTTACATAATCATACTGTTGAACATAATGCCTTTTCCCACTCGATATTGTGGACATTTTTCAAAGCTGTTAAATACTCTTCAAAAATGACTGCACAATAGTTCCTGTCATAGAATTATCCATTACACTATTATTAATCATTTCCATTTTTCACCATTATAAGTGATAGTTAATGAAGATGCTTATATGAGCCTTGTTTGGAATCTGATATTTCCTTAGGCAAGATACCTAAAAGTGCAATCTTTGGGTCGAGGGTAGAAATATCTTTTTAGTGCTCTAACTGCATATTGCCAAACTGACTTACAGAAAACTTGCTGGTTATAGTCCCTCTAGTTGTATATAAAAGTGCCCATTTCGTTACACCCTGAATCTTTTAAAAAATCTTTTCACTGCTTTTTTAATCAGAAGGGCTTTGTGAAGTTGGCCTCTAAAACAGCAGTCTGCTGTATGTAAGTCTATTTTGTGATGCGGAATAAAACAGCTATTTACATCCAGAAATCACTAGCAACACAGTGCTGCAGGCTTTGTGAGGCACAAGGCACTGGGGCCACGATCCAAAATGGCCTGGAAGCCCAGCAGTGCCATGTGGTGTCCCCCAGTGAAGGGAGTGGTGGGCCTGGGGAGGGACCTGGAGACGACACAGTCCTGATCAGCTTCTGAGGGGACTCCTCAGGGGCACAGCCTCCTCTTTCCCAAAGCTGATTGGAGGGTCTGGCTGATCCCATACACTGCATTTGTTCTACAAGAACATTTAGGGAGCAAATGAAACAAAAGAACATGGGACAGGCTGAGAGAGGGCTGCTCCACCGTGTGTGCCAACAATGAGAATGAAAATTTACCAGCGAGTCCTTTGGCAGAGCTCTGGGCATGCTGGCTGGCTGCAAGCAGGATCCTGTTGGGACAGCGAGGGCCTAGTCTACGCTGCCACTGCCTCACCTCGGATGCTGCTGGCCTGGGTCCGGGCAACACTGGGCAGTCTGCCCGGTTCCGCCGTGGCTTCTGCTCCAGAGGAGCCCAGAGGAGCCCAGAGGAGACACATAGAGGGGGAGGAACAAGGGCAGTCCCAGCAAGGCCCTGGCTGCTGCCTCTCTGTGGTGTTAGGGACAGAAGCAGGTTGGCAGCACTAACCACAGGAAAAGAGGATGGGGGGCGAATGTGAGGAGGCCAATGAGCATTTAGAACCAAACCTGCAACAGCAGGAACTTGAGGTTAGGGACTTTTCCTGGCCAGGAGCCTGCACAGAACTAGGAGCTCGTGACTTTCCCTCATTAACATACATTAGCATGGTAAAAATCACACCCGCCCGCGCCATGACAGTTTACAAATGTCATGGCAACTCCTAGAAGTTACCCTATAAAGATAAAATTGGGAAGTGCCCTTAGCTCCGAGAACTCTCCACCCTTTACTCAGAAAAATAATGAATATTCTGCCCACCCTTTAACATATCATAAGGTGTAGACATAAAAGTAGAAGTGTGGTAAGGCTCCAGGGTCTTCTCCACTTGTGCAGAAAGATCCATTTCCCCTCTGGAAGCTACCTCTCTTTGTATGCTTGAAGCCTGCAATGAAAGCCGCTTGTGTGGAAGTGCTGAGTGTCTGTGATCACTCCATCGCACTGTCCCTGCTTGCGATTTTTCCAGGCAAGGAGCCAAAGAACGGGGACTACACCTCTCAAAAATCAACCCTGACGTGTGCCACTACCACTCACTCCCCCTCAAAGGCTCTGGAAGCCTGAGAGGCCGAAGACCCTGGTTTGAAGGTAGTTGGGAGATTCTTGGAGCAATCATGCTTGCTACAGAAGGATTTATTAGGAATTAAAAAGGTAGCTTGAGCTCATATGGTATTAGGCTGGTATGATAAGGAGTTTTAACCAGTCTCCCGTGGTATGGGAAAGATTCACAACAGGAACACATTTTGTCTGGTTTTACATATTTAACAAATGTGTTTGTAACAGCCTGTTTCTGTGTTAATTTTTTTTTTTTAATAGGTATTTTAAGGTGGAATGGATTTCCAGGATGGGAATGCTGATTTATACTGTTGTGCTGTAGGAAATAAGGTTTGACATGCCTTCATTGCCCAGGAACCAACTGGGATAGGAGTCGGGGGTGACTTTGTTTCAATGCTCCCTCTTGTTTTTCCTATTTAAATCCTGTTACATCTGCAATCCAAACAATCATTATTACTAAACATTTTTGCCTTGAAAACGGAGCTCAATTTAAAGAAATGAACGTGACTGCTCAGAGGGAGAGATTGCATCAGCCACCTCGCCGCAGCTCCTGCCAGGCGCCGGGGGCCTTTGTTTTGACTTCCTCGTTTTCTCAACTGACCTTTTGGGGTTTTAAATGGAGAGTGGAACAAAATAAAACTGGAGCCAAGAAGCCCAGGACCAGGCACGTGGAGAAGGTGGCAGTCCCTGGTTCCCTGTTTCTTCTCATCTCTTTCTGTAGAGTCCCAGCTCCTGCACCTAGTGCTTGAGGCTCTCCGCCATCCGCTGCGACTCGAACTTGCAGTTCTCTCGCGAGGCCCAGCCTCCACCCTTGGGCTGCACAGTCCAGCACCTGCTCCGGCTGTGCCCATTCCCAGCTGCCCACCCTCAGCCGCTCCTCAGCCCCTAAAGTCCTGCCCTATTTTCTGCTTCCCTAGATCCTACTAGTGCTGCGTGGGCATTCCTGGCTCCTTCAGCCTGCACTGGTTTAGCCATAATTAGAATGTACGCTCCACCAGAATGTGATCTCTCTGAGGAACAATCTTTATCTCTTTTGCTATTCTGATACACAGTAGGAGCTCTTTTTTTTTTTTCGAATGCGTGAATGAAGATGTCATGTAGTCTCCCTGCATTCTTTTGTGTACACATCTTAGTTGCACATCTTAACAGGGCAGCAGAGCTACTTGAGTCTGGGGCCGTGTTATATGCCTCACACATGCTCAGCACAGTGCTGGAATGGTCCGTTTATGTTGGAAATATGGACAGACTGTTCTTTAAGAACTCATGTGCAGAGAGGTTGGAGGCTAGTCCTTGCTGCTTTCCTAAATGGTTTGCAGTGACAACATGTGGCTCTTTGGTTGGAAGCCCCGTGATACTCTTCTCCTCTGCTGCTCCAAGGGCAGGCCTATTTTTTTTGGTTTTTAGCAATCTTGGTAATCATGCTTTCACCACAATGAGCTTTTTAATTCCCTTTAAATGATAAGCGACTGCTTCCTTCAGAGGGCAAAAGGGGAGACTGCTGAGTCACTGTGGCCATTTTTAGATGAACTTTTTCCTGTTTATAATAAAGTAATACATGCTGATTGCAGAAAACTAGAAAACATGTGAAAATGTAGAGAAAAGACTAAAAATTATCTATAACTTCGAGTCATAAAAATAACCACTCTTAGCAGCACATTTCTTTCTGTAACGTTTTATATAGTTGAGATCACATAAATATATGTTTGTATCCCATTTTGTGAACATCATTATCTCATGAACGAGAAACGTTTCCTAAACACTATCTTTGAGGGCGGCATATAGAGGTATCATAGTTGATAGTTTTTATATATTATGCGTTATATCATTATTCTGTAATATTATAAATAATGCTATGGCGAATATGTTTATGAGGATGCTTATCTCATCCTCCTTAATAGTACATATTCTTGAATCTTTTAATCTTTGATAATGACAAATGATGAATCAGTTATTTTTTCCTTCATAATTAGTAAAGTTTAACATTTTCAAGTGTTTGTTGCCCATGTATATCTTTTCTTTTGTGAAGTGCTATCAGTTCTTCTGCTTTTTTAAAAAAATCATTTTCAGTTTTAGTTTTTGATTGTTGGTCTGTATGAGCCCTTTATAAATGAAGACTGTTAACCTTTGGCCATCATAATTGTCACAGTAAAGCATAAACCTTTTGCTGCTCTAGATGCCCTGGACCAAAACACAGATTTAGACTCCAGGTCTCTGTGTGGGTGTGACTGTTGTCACTCGAGAACCACAGTGTGAGCAGGGCCTTAGGAGGGAGATAATTTCTGCTCAGAGGGGAAGCAAATTCCCAATTAGGGAAATAGATGGAAAATGTTCTTAGGAGATTAATTTGTGGCAGGTTTTTGTTTGTTTAAGCATCTCTAAAATTTTTATACCTGTAAAGGAGAATGGGATGGTGGGCTGAAAGAGACACGGCATTATATCATTTAGTTCTGAATTATGTTCTTGTCAGGTTCATAGTAAAAGAGTGAAATTTTCATGAGGGTGTGACTGAGGGACAATTAAATTCTGGCAGATTGTTACATTAAAATCCCTCCGCCTGTCTGTGGTGCTGGGTAACAGGAGTATTGTACACCCAACAGGCAGAGAAACAGAATGAACGGGAGAATTTCCTAGCGTACATTAGCATTCCAGCCGTGGCTCTGAATACAAATTGCCCCTGGCTAAGAAGGAGCCACTTCTTACCTATAAGGAATACTTGAGTAGGGTTGAAGGAGCAGGGAGACCATTTCTTGCTTTTGACTTGCTTATTGTCATATCTTTTTGGCCTAGTAATCCCACTTTTATAAATCTATCCTAAAGCAGCAATCAGAAATGCAATCAATGATTTATACATAGGAATGCTCATTACACTATAATTTTTGACAAAAAAATAGGAAGCAACTTGGATGTTCAATATTAGAAGTAAATTATGACATATCAAGATGATGAAACACCACGCAGCTTTTAGAAAAAGCAGGTATAAAATCACCCTACAGAGTGTGACTGCATCTACATAAAGATGCATAGAAGAAAGAGACTAAGGACAAATTTTAAAATGTTAATGTTAGCTGCAGTATCTCTGGATGCTGGTGTTATAGGCAATTGTTCTCTTTTGCATTAGAAATATTTCCAGAATTATGTACTATATTTATGAAAAAGTAAAATTTATAAAGCAATCATAAACAACCTTAGTAATTAGATAAAGCAGGGTCCAATCTGGAAAGAAATTTGAGAAAGGGGAATATGTGCAAAATTCAAAAAAGAATGTCACATGAACTGAACCTCAGATAAAAGATTGCGGGAGGGAAGGGTTTATGGAAAAACAATATGGAAAAATGTACCTTCATTGTCCTAAAGGAAGAAGGAAAGAAGGAAATACGCATTTTTTACCTTTTGCAAAGAAGATTTTACAGGTGAAGAGTTATAATGGAAGTTATTAGTGAAACTAAGCTCACATTTTAAAAAAATCCCTTAAGATATGCACCAGGAGAACTAAAATTCCACCACGAACTTCCATTGGGGCATGAAAACAATCTAGTACAATAACATAGAGTCTAACAATCTCTTAGATCCTATTATATTCTTTGAGGCAAGAACACAGGTCTTTCTGACAATCTTAATTTTGTGTGTATTTTAAGGTTTCACAGTGTCGTATCTACCTTTGAATAATAGTTTAGCTATTGTTGGGCAGTGGCCCACTTTTGCTTGACTCCCTATTTTGATGAACAGTGTGTTTCGCAAGCCAAGCCATTCATTTGTACAGACTGTGTGCAAGACCCTGTGTATTTCTAACCAGTTATACTGGCATTCCCTTCATTATTTTTGAGGCAGAGATATACAGGCCAATGCTGAAGAGAGCAGAGGGAAGGAAAGCTGGAAGTAAAGGGAGTAGATTTGGCAGTGTCAGGCATAATCTATGGACTCCCAACTATAGAAGGTGAAGATTTAGCTTTCTTTTTCCCAACTCTGTGTTCTACATTGTGCTTCCTATCTCCCTCTGTCCAAATTGCTTATATTGTAATTTCATTTAAATCAATATTCAGTGTTTACAGTATTGTGACTATGTATGGGGGTAGAGCATACAGAGGAGAGGGAGGGAGGGAAGGTCACAAACGCTGAACAACTAATTATTTCCCCTGTACAGATTGCTAGAATGTGAAATATCTGAGAAGAAAACAAAATTGTCTTACAAGGTGGAGGGAACCTGGGCAGGCTGCAGTGTTTGTAGAGTAGGTACTTACAAAAAGAAGTCGCAGAGCCCACAGGAACACTCGTGAAGTGGAGGAGCAGGAAATCGGGGCCGTCTGGTTGAATCTTCCTTGTCGCTGGCGTTCTGATGTCAGGCTCCAGAAGGGAGGACAGTGGACAGGGAAATGGCAGATAGATGCCGTCCTGAGCTTTTGCCCCGCTTGCACTCACAGTTGTGTCTAAGTAAACAGCTCTCTGAACTTTGGTACATTTGTGCTAACTGATGTCACTATCAGCTGATTTCACTTTCGTTTCTTAACTTGCTGGTGGCTCGTGACTTTTCAGAAATAAGGTAAACAACATTTTGTAGTTTATCATCCCATATTGTTTACTGTAGTCAGCAAACCACCTGATTTAAAGAGCCAGGTAAGTGTCTTGATTATATCCACAATAATTCCAGAAAAGAAAGTAGCCAAAGAACTCTCGAGGCTCCCAGTGATTTAAATTCCAAGATAAACACAACCTAGGATCTTATTCAGAAGGGACCTTCAAGATCATCTGGTCCAAGCTCCCAGCAAGTGCAGCCGTCAGGACCCGGTCACCTCCTATGTATTTTCTTGGGAAGCAGCTGTCTTCCGTCCCGCCACTTCCCACCCCTTTTCAGAAATCAGCTTTGTTATGATGACCAGGCTTCTCTGGACACAAAACTTTGTCTTAGTATTCTCACCAGGGAATTTAGACCCATGTTGGAGCAGCTGGAACATCTATTTTATTTCACAATAAGGACAGAACAAAGCTTTTAGTTTTGTAATCATGGAGGCTCCTTGACAGAGTTTAAAAATTGTCTGCTCACATGGCCAGCTGGAAATCCGACTGGGGGTTAAGCTTGGTGAAGTCACTAGACAGCTACGTAATAATTTTTCTGAATCCTTCAGGGTTTTTCTTTCTCTTCCCCTGCCTTTTCCCCAAAGAAGTTCTTTGAACTGCTACATCCTTCCCCCTCACTGCCCCCTCAGTTCATTTAAACTCAAACTCTAAAAAGAGGTGATGTGATCTAGGCACATATTAATAGTAATGGTAACTATTATTATTAAGAGCAGAATTTCTGTGTATCTAGTCTAGCCTTCCTATGAATACCTTCAAGACAGAGACAAAATTAACTTTTAGGTACTAATATGAACTAGTTACTCTGAAAACTGAATACTGGTGAGTGAAGTGCTATAGAAGAGAAATATATACCTATAGTTAAAAAATTATTTGAAGTTATAATGCTCATAGTTTTTAAAGAGTCAAACAATTCTTCAACGTTTGTTATGAAAATCAGCCATCCCAAACTCTTTCTTTCTTCTTATTCTGAGGTAAGCACTTTCACCTGTTTTAGCTGATGCTTGGATATCTACCTCAGTTCCCTAAATAACATGCTTGGATTGGTACTTCTTGGTTTTTCAGTTTCAGGTTTAATCTATTGACTACCAACTATAAAAGGAAAGTTCTTGAAGAAAATTAAAAGTGCTACTCCAGTGAACACACAATGATAAGAAAGTAAATCAGCCTTATTGCTGTTAGGAAGAAAGTTTTAGAGATCTGGATAGAAGACCAAACTAGCCATAAAATTCCTTTAAACCAAAGCCAGATCTAATTCTCTTCAATTCTATAAAGGCTGAGAGAGGCAAGGAAGCTGCAGAATGAAGCTTCAAGCTAGTAGAGGTTGGATCATGAGATTTAAGGAAAGAAAAGAAGAAGCCATCTCCATAACATAAAAGTGCAAGGTGAAGCAGCAAATGCTGATGTAGAAGCTGTAGCAAGTTACCAGAAGATCTACTAAGATCATTGATGAAGGTGGCTACACTAAACAACAGATTTTCAGTGTAGGTGAAACAGCCTCCTGTTGGAAGAATATACCGTCTAGGACTTTCATAGCTATGGAGAAGTCTATGCCTGTCTTCAAAGCTTCAAAGGACAGGCTGACTCTTGTTAGAGGCCAATGCAGCTGGTGACTGGAAACTAATGCTCATTTGCCATTCTGAAAATCCTAGGGCCCTTTGGAATTATACTAAATCTACTCTGCTTTTATAGATAAATGAAACAACAAAGGTGGAATGACAGCACATTTATTTACAGCATGGTTTACTGAATTTACTTTAAGCCCACTGTTGAGACCTACTGCTCAAAAATATATATATATATTATTGCTCATTGACAATGCACCTGGTCACCCAAGAGCTCTGATGGAGATGTACAAGAAGATTAATATTGTTTTCATGCCTGATAACACAACATCCATTCTGTAACCCATGGATCAAGGAGTAATCTCAACTTTCAAGTCTTATTATTTAACAAATATGTTTCGTAAGGCTATAAATGCTGTAGATAGTGATTCCACTGGTGGATCTGGACACAGCAAATTGAAAACTTTCTGGAAAGTATTCATTCTAGATGCCATTAAGAACATTCATGATGCATGAGAGGAGGTAAAAATATCAACATCTATAGGAGTTTGGAAAAAGTTGATTCTAGCCCTCATGGATGACTTTGCGAGGTTCAAGACTTCAGTGGATGTGGATGTGGGTAAACTCACAACTAATGGATGCATGGCGTACTGTATGGGGGAAGGGCACACTTGTAGCTGTGGCTTGGGCGAGGCTCATGCATTATATGTAACCAAAATGTTTGTACCCCCATAATATTCTGAAATAAAAAAAAGAATTAAAAAAAAGGACTTCAGTGGAGGAAGTAATTGCAGATGTGGTGGAAATAGCAAGAGAATCAGAATTAGAAGTAGAGCCTGAAGATGTGACTTAATTGCTGGAATCATGATAAAACTTGAGTGGAAAAGGAGTTGCTTCTTATGGATGAGTGAAGAAAGTGGAGTGGATTTCTGGAGATGGAATCTACCCCTGGTGAAGATGCTGTGAACATTGTTGAAATGACAACAAAAGATTTAGAATATCCCATAAACTTAGTTGATAATGCAATGGCAGGGTTTGAGAGAGGAGTGACTGCAGTTTTTAAAGAAGTTCTATGGTGGATAAAATGCTATCAAACAGCATCACATTCTACAGAGAAATGTTTCATGAAAGGAAAAGTCAATTGATGTGGCAAACTACTTCATTTTCATCTTATTTTAATAAATGGCCACAGCCACCTCAACCTTCAGCAACCACCGCCCTGACCAGTCAGCAGCCATCAACATCAAGGCAAGATCCTCCACCAGCAAAAAGATTATGACTTGCTCAAGGCTCAGATGATAATTCACATTTTTTTTAGCAATATAGTATTTTAAACTAAGATATACACATTTTTTTAGACAGAATGCTATTGCACACTTAATAGACCATAGTATAGTATAAACATAACTTTGATATGCACTGGGAAACCAAAAAATTTGTGTGACTCACTTTATTGTGATATTCACTTTATTGTGGTGGTCTGGAACTAAACTCACAATATCTCTGAGGTATACCTACAAATACCATTCATGGCAGCTGAGCTATGTAGAAAATTATGATTACTTTTTCTATCCTGCATATGGTTTGTCTTCTCTGAAGATAATTGCCTCTTTTTTTGGTTTGTTTGTTTGCTTGGTTTTGTGTGTATGTAACACTAATCCAATGCTCAAAGCTTTATCAAATGTTCTATTTGCATGCATCAAGTGCTCTGTGTCTTCCTGAGAAAGGCTTTCTCAGGGCCTGCCAAGCTGCTCCAGTCTGGGCTGATGGCCCTGACACGACACATGGCTGTCATCCTGGAGTCTCACTTCACCACCATCCTGGGGATTCCCTTTGCCTCTATCCCAGGTTGGGTTTCCTATTTCTTGCATCATAGGCTTTTCTCTTTCTTGCCTTAATTCAATTTTGGTGGAGTTAATCTCCAGTAACTTACTGAGAAATGGACACACTGAAGGTAATTTTTTGAGAACTTGCAAAACTGAAAATTTCTTCAATCTAACTTGACCTAATCTATTCACACTTGATCAAATTTAGACTGAGTATAGGTTAAAAAATAATTTTCCTTTATAATTTTGAAGGTTTTGTTCCATTTCATCTAGCTTTCATGTTATTGTTGAGAAGTTTAAAGTCATTCCACTTTCTAGATTCCAAAATGATCTCCTCTATTTTCAGCTTTATTCCTTAAATACTAAAAGTTATTTTAGTGAGGCTTTGAGAGGAGGCAGAATTAAATATATACCTAGTTTAACATTTTTAACTGGAAGTCTAAAATATTTCTTCCTTCTATTCTTTTTTTTCTTTTTTTTTTTTATTTCAGCATATTATGGGAGTACAGATGTTTAGGTTATGTATGTTGCCCTTGCCCCCTCCCCAAGTCCGAGTTTCAAATATGTCCATCCTTCCTGTGGTGCGCATTGCACTCTTTGTGTATGCAAATACCCGTCCCCTCCTCCCTCCTTCCCCCTCCCCACTTCTATTCTTTATCTTCCCCTTTCTTTGATTTCACCCTGGGAGGGCTTGCTCTTGCTGTCTTTCATTGGTTCTCTCTGGTAACTTAGCTGGCCTGTGATTGAGCTTGTTGCTTTTATCAAGCTACTAACTGCCTCCTAATTGCTTGCCATCAAACTCTCCATTGTTTTTGGAAGCTTAGCCTTGAACTTCCCCACACTCTATTTTAAAAAAGTGACCTCTTGGCCACATATGCCTGGAGTTTTGCCTCAGCTGCATGGAGGTAGGGAGATGAGAAATGTTGGCATCCTGCCCCTCCCAGGGGAGATATCATTGCTCTTGACCGGGAGCTGGGGAAGTGCAATCCCAGTGTTCTTGGCCACACCCTCCCTGAGTGGAGCTTCCCACCTCCTGAATTGGGGTGAAGGGAGGGAGTGGGACATAGCTTAAGTGCCACAGACTCTCACTCTTCTTATGGGATTTAGTAAATTTTCTTGTGTGAATGTGTTTTCATCTGATGTATGTCCTTAGGACAATTTCCTGAGACTTTAAATGGGTTTTTTCTAAAAAATAGAATTTTTACCAGTTTTTTTTCACCAAGGAGTGGGAGAGGAGCTCCTCAGACTCCTCATTCTAGAAGTGGATCTCTGCTCATTTCTTAAGAAGAAATTTTAAATTAAAGACTTCATTTTTTTTAGAGTGGTTTTAGGTTCACAGCAAAATTTAGAGAAAGGTACAGAGATTTCCCCTATTATCTTCTAGGAAATTTATAGTTTTGTTTTTGACATTTAGGTCTATAATCGATTTGAGTTAATTTTTGTGAAGGGTGTAAAGTCTGTGTCTGAATTTGTTTTTTTGCATGTGGATATCCAGTTGTTCCAGTACTCTTTCCATTGCATTGTCTTTCCTCCTTTGTTA